TTTTTAGGTTTGAGTTAAGTGAAATTTAAAATTGAGTTCCTCATTTGCATGAGCCACATCGGCCTAGTGGCTACTGTACTTACTGAACAATGCAGGTCTTATAAGGTGGTGCTTCCTCCTGTGGCTTGTGAGGGTCCTGGATTCATTTTAATGAGTTTGAGTGCTGTACTTATTGCGGAGTTTGCTTTCCTCAAGAGTATCATAGAAGGCAAGGTAATGTAAAGGTGATCATAAAAGCAACCAAAGGTTCTCTGAATCAACATTCAGGACAAGAAGGAGGGTGGGGCTGTAATAGCTTAGAAAAGGAAATGGGGAGGAGGAAAGAAAACAAGTTTTGGTGACTACCCCTAGTCAAATGCTCTTTGGAGATAAAGAAATTCTATAGTAGTCAAGCAGCCAAGATAAGAAAAGGATGTTAATTATGCCAGAATTGTGAGTGAGAGAAAAAGCTGAATTAAAAAGTGAATTTGTCTATTCTCAGAAGAGCAAGAGGAGTATTGCTTACATAAAATGCAAATAATGTAATTTTTAGAGCTTGTCCCCTAAAGAATTCAGGATGTCATACAAATAATCATTCATTCACATAAGCAACTTTGACCAAAAATATTCCAAATGTTCTAACATTGAAAGATAGGCACAGTGCAGAGAATTTATTTTTATTGTATTTCACCCACCCACTTCTCACTCATTGTAACGTTTCACAGAGCTATTGTGTGCCTAATCCATAGTGAGCCTGCATTGTTCTTATGCACACTAGACTCAATTTAAGGCAATATAAGCTCTATAATCATCCGAATAATACTTAGCCTTCAACTAGTCATGCAAACAAGAAATAAAGTCAACAGCAGTGAGCACACAGGCCCTGTACTGAGAGGAATCCCTAGACCAGAGCCCAGATAGTGCCTGAGTGGGAACAGCTGTGGCTAGTACTCAGCATGCTAATCTGCTCGTGCCAACCTGAGAAGCAGCGGGTGGACAGACAGCACAAACCTGATGGATATGCTGGGCCATGTCTTCCAGAGAAGTTGCTTCTGCTGTCTTTCTGATGCCTCTAGTGCTTCTGAGAGTGCTGCCATTTTTTTTTTAAACCGAGGAAATCCCAAAGATTGATGACACCAAATTCTAACTCAATTATTTGCTTCCTGAAGCTTAGAAGAAAATGTTCTATAGTTTCCCACTTTTTTGGTAGATGAAGGTGAAGCTCACTGATCATAAGAGCCTGGGTCCTCCAGAGATAAGTTCTCAAGTTTCCATTTTGTTGTCTCAGGATTAGAGGATATCCTGATAATAACAGTGATCACGCTCAATCTCAAAACGACAGAAAAAGGATTCAAAATTCAACAAGTACTAACAGCGCACCTACTATGTCCTCGGTACTGAGTTAGGCACTGGTATAACAATAACAAGAGCTAGACTTAGAAAGTGCTTGTATGCTGCTAGAGACTGTACTAAGCACTGTAGCTATTTTTATTATTCCCTTTTTACACAATAGGCAACTGAGACACAGAAAGGTTAAATAACTTGCCCATGTCACAAAACTAAGACATAGTTTTCTCATTTCAACTAGATGTAAAATAATTTTCCAAAAGTCACACACAGTAATCCAGCCTCAGAGCCCTTCCCTCAAGCTTTAGAGTTAAATAGATTCAGAGGTGAATCCCACATCTCCATTTATAGCTGTGTGACTTTGGGAAAATCAACCTTTCAGAGTCCTAGTTTCCTCATCTGTAAATGGAGAAAATGGCATGTGCTTTAGGAATTTTGTAAGGATGATAAATCATGCCCGCAGCCCTGGCCAGTGTGGCTCAGCTGGTTGGAGCATTATCCTGTAATCAAAGGGTTGCAGGTTCAATTCCCAGTCAGGGCACATACTTAGGTGGTAGGTTTGGTCCCCAGTCCAGGCAAGTATGGGAGGCAACGAATCCATGCTTCTCTCTTGCATTGATGTTTCTCTCTCTTCATTCCTCTCTCTCTAAAAGCAATGAAACAAAAGTCCTTAGGTGAGGATAAAAATAATAATAATAATTAACAACAACAATAATAATAATGCCTGCAAAGTGACTAGCACAGTGCCTCCCAGACAAAATCATTATTAGGGGTTCATTAATCCAAGTGCATAATGAATGACTCAGTATGCACTCGTTTGGCCACCCCAGTTGTTAAAATACTGAAGTGCTTTTCCACACCAGTGAGCAGAACCTCTGCCCTAGGCCACTTGAGTGCCCAGGGCATCCAGCCCCTTCTGCAGGAGCTCCCCATAACCCCTGGCACTCTAAGGGCCCGGGACTCTGTTCAGATGGTTAGTGCCTGCTTTGCCCAGGTGTTAAAAATTTTCCTGATCTCCTGGCTACAAGTATAGTTGGGCTCCTGCCTTTGTTGAGAGCACAGCTGGGGAGGGCCCATGGGCATGACAAGGGAAAGTGATGAGGGCAGTGATGAAGGGTGCTTTGTATAGTGCAGGATGGCGAAATGCCCAGCTCAGGTGTGGCAGGACGGCTGGCTCTCTCAGTGACCTGTCTGGGTGTGTAGTGGCTTCCTAGATCATCTCTGAAGTTCCTTTTGTCTCCTGTGTTTTTCACCTTCGCTCTCTCCACCTAGTTCAGGCCTCATACCCCTTTGCCTCAACTCCCATAAGAGCTTTAAAATTAAGTGGCCCATTCTAGAATCCATTCTGTGTTTCTCTTACTCAACAACCTTTAGTAGCTCCCTGTGGCCCCATCTCTTCATTAAGCCATCTATGACCCACTACCATGTAGGCCCAGCGTCTGCTTCTAGGCTTTTCCACTTACGGTAGGTGCCTGGCGCACCAACCAGGTGAGATCTATGCAGGACTCTGTTGCTCCTGCTGCTTGGGGTTTGTTGCTCCTCTTTCAGGGGTTTTCACACCCTCCTCAAAGCCAACTTCTTTCTCTCATTTATGTTCCCTGCACCCCCATGTCTCCATTCCACTCCAAGGTCATGTTGAGGGTGATGTGTTCTGATAACGAATGTACATTGGTCGCTTATTATATGCCAGGCTGTTCGAAGAGCTTTGCATGTGTTACCTCATTTAAGCCTCACAAAAACTCTTAAGAGGTAGGCATATTATTATCTCTTTTTTTTAAAATGAAAAAGACTCAGGCATGGAGAGGTGAAATATTTTTCCAAGGGTTACACAGCAAGCAAAAAGTAGAGCTGGGATTCCAACTCAGGAAGCTTGTCTTCAGAGCCTGTGCTCTTAATTAGTGTTTTATAGGGAGTTATAACTCTCAAAGAAAGAGAAAGATAGAAGAAAATATTTCTCTTGTTATTACTCAAAATACACAGCTTGCTTTTGCAATTATTTGTTATTATTTTATCTCCTTCTTTATGTGAGCTGAAAACTCCTAGAGGGGAGGAACTCTGGGTCTCACGGACTGGTGTCTCAGTTACCATCCACCAATTGTAGGTAGGAGTGATGTTGCTGAGCCATCATATCCTTTGGAGGCCTTGGATTGTGAATTGGCCATAATCAAGCCTACCTTTCACCAGTAGTTCTCCTAACTAACTACAGCAAGTCCTCGAATAATGTCATTTCGTTCAGCGTCGTTTCTTTATAATGTTAATGAGATGCCATAGGGACTTTACTCTTGTTTCTGTCGATTAGCCTTCAGTAAAAATTGGTTTCATTATACGTTGTTTCACTTAAAGTTGCAAAATCTATCGATGACATTAAGTGAAGACTTGCTCTATGCCACTTGGCAAAACCCTGGTCAGGCCACCTATTCCAGTTAGACTCCAAGAAAGCTGTGCTTAGTTTTATGATTCAGATTGTGGGCTGAGTTGTCATCTATCTTCTGCATAACAGAGCAGATATGTATGTGATTTCTGTCGTTTAGAATTGGAGAAACTTAAGTGTCCTGAGGTTGTTTACTCAGAGTCCTCAGGCAGATCTGTGAAGGAGTGGAAGTGGGACTATTTGGAACTGACTCTCCCGGAACCCAGTCCCGGACCCTGGATAACTGTGTTGTGGATTCTGCCCTTAGTACATGTACTAAGGGGTCAGTAGATGAACTAAGTTGTTGACAGACCAGAAAATTCTGGAACACTCTTCCCCTGTATTTTTACCTTGACACAAAATAAAATTATGACATCATGATGAGAACACAGGACTTCTCTATCTGTATTTTTAGAAACTACCAGCTTTTTCCAAGGGTGGCTGGTCAGTCCCCCTGTTTAAGAAAAACCATTGTGGAGAACCTGTATCACCTTTCATCATAACCTATGTGACATCTGTGTTTGTTCTAAAATCTAGAGGCCAAAGTGATAGGTGCTGACTTTAGTGGAGTACCAATAACTTTGCACCTAGATGCAATTCCTTGATAAGCAACCAAAACTTAGGAACTTTTATAAGCCCCCCCTTTTTTGTTTTTTTCTGGTTTAGAATTAACAGATGCCAAAGGTGCGTGTAAGTCTAGGGTATAAGGGACTCATACAAAATTAATAGGTGCTAAATACTTGTAATAATACTATTTGTTATCCAGGGGATATCCCTTGCCACGTTTTGCTGTCATCTCCATTGCTGCCAGGGGTGGCCAGGAGCTTATAGGTGCGGCAGCCTTGGAAATGAAGGTGGTGGGCGGGGTGATCAGGGAAGGACTGGGACTTTATGGCAAAGCAAAGTCCACCTCCATAGTCGGATGAAAGTTCCCATGGCTTGTTTTGCTTCGGTTACGGCAAGCCAGCGCACAAACCAGAACCTTTACCTACAAACAATACAGTGACTACGCCTCCTCCCCATGTCCCACCCTCAACACAAGCCCCCTCTCCAGCCAGTCCTTCGCTGCACACCTCGTCCCCTTTAAGAGCCTGCTCCGCGGGGCAAACGTTCGAAAGGCTCGGCTGCCCCTCCTCGAGCTCCGATTGGCCGCGCGCAGCTCACGGGGGCGTGTCAGCCTGCTACGGACTGGTTGGCGGCCCTTCGCGATTGGCGGGTGAGGAGCCTATATAAAGTACGGGGTTGTTGGGCAGCTCTCACTTAGCGACGGGACAGGAAACTGAGCGTTTGTTTGTAGCCCAGGGGTCTTGGGTTTCAACGATCTCGTCAGCGTCGTCGTCGTTGAGTTCTCTCCGCAGTCTTCAGGTATCAAGGGTCCACCCCTGGGGCGGACTTTGTTGAGGCCTCCAAGTCCTCGCCTGTCTCTGAAGAGGAGCCGGGGCTCAGCCTTCACCTCCGGGCCCGCTCGCCGGTGAAGGCGGCAGACAGGATGGAGTTCAAGCTGGAGGCTCACCGCATCGTCAGCATCTCCCTGGGCAAGATCTACAACTCGCGGGTCCAGCGCGGCGGCATCAAGCTGCACAAGAATCTGCTGGTCTCACTGGTGCTGCGCAGCGCCCGCCAGGTCTACCTGAGCGACCCGTGCCCTGGTCTCTACCTGGCTGGTCCCGCTGGGACCCCACCGCAGCTGCCTGCGGAGCTGGCGGCCGGGCCCCCGGCGGGTTGGGGGGAGCCGCCCCCGCCGTCCGTCCCCGCCGCCTGGCCAGAGAGCGAGCCGCAGCCTGAACACCGCGCGATACCAGACGTGCCTCAGGCGGGTGACTTGGAGCCCGAGGCTACCCTGACCAGCGCCAGGAACATTCTTCAGAGCAGAGAAGTGGCGGCCGGGGGAGCCGGGGACTCAGCCGGACGCTCGGACGTCTTCCCCGAGGGTTCCCGGGCGGCGCGCCACTATTGCGGCTGCCTTCCTGGTGGAGAGGAGAAGCCGGGGCCGCTGGGCGCCTCTCCCCTCGGTGACTGCTGCTGCGCGGAGGACAAGCCCCCGGTGCCGCCCCCGGTCTGCCCCAGGAAGCGTAGCGCGGCCCGGGTGGGCTGCTGTGGCCCCGCGGGTTGCCCCGGCTCGACCCCTCTGAAGAAGCCCCGCTGGGACTTGGAGGAGCAGCCTGGCAGGATGGAGGAAGAGGAGGAGATGGAGACCGGGAACGTGGCTAACCTCATTAGCATCTTCGGTTCCAGCTTCTCAGGACTCTTACGAAAAAGCCCCGGGGGCGGCCCGGAGGAAGCCGAGGGCGAGGAGAGCAATCCGGAAGCTGCCGAGCCCGGGCAGATCTGCTGCGATAAGCCGGTGCTGAGAGACATGAACCCCTGGAGCACAGCCATCGTGGCCTTCTGAGCCCCGGTCAGTCGCCTTGTGGGCAGGAGGTTGAGCAGCGGGCGTGGACGCGAGTGCCGGGCCTCTCCTGGCTGCGAAGAGGCCGCCGAGACCGTAGGCGCTGAGCGCGTTAGGAAGACTGGGTGCCGCGGGGCGGCAGGGACTGCCCTTGGCCTTGGTGGCCCTGCTATGTTGGCCTCTCTTGAGACTTGGGAGTGTGAGGCTTATCGGAAGAGGACTATTGTTAAATTGTGTGTTTGTTTATGTAAGTTTGTCTTGTGAATTAAGACTATTTTGTCCTTCTGGAATGCATCACCCCTTCCCCAGGGTTTGGGAGCCTGGGGGCAGACAGGGACTTTCCTTTACCAGCAGCACCGAGAAGGAAGCCGCTAAAAGGACCGGGGAGTTCCCCATTCGTTCTTGAGGCAGGAAGGGACTTTACACACACACCCTTCACATGAAAGCTAGAACCGTACCGGGGCCAGGAGTGGCGTTTCCTCGCAGGATTTTATAAGGCTGGAGTGATTTAGCCCGGGGTAGAGACTTCTATTATTTCTTTCCCTGCCCACCTTTCTCTCACTGAAGAAACGTTTAAACCCTGTGATTACTCTGGGAAAGGGGAATCTTAGGGGCCCTTGTCTTCCCCACAGGGAAAAAAGCTTGATGAACTTCACAGAAGAGTTCAAGCTTAGAAATATGGAATTTATAAAGAAAAGATATATATTTTAAAAGCTCTAGCTCAGAACTACTACACAGTGCTTTTTAAAAGTGTTTAATGAAACAAAGTTTACAGACAGAACCCCTAAGTGGAAAGACCTTATGGTTTTGTAGATACGGTGACTCCAGTCTTTGTTGTATAAAGGTTGGGGGAACTGACAAGGTTTTTGTACAGTATTTTCTCCTTCGTTGTATTGATTTTTGTATAAAAATGTAACTCTACGTGTCCAACACGTATTAAATATTTTGAAGCAATTTCACTGCGTCTTTGTTTGTAATCACCTGTCTGGGTTGGGAGGAAAGGGGGAGGAGGGGAACTAAGGCCCAGGCTGGGAAATTGAAGGTGTGGTTCTTAATATCAGTCAAGCACAGACTGGGGATATTGTTTGCTGACTTCACTAAGTATCAAAAGAGACACGTTTAAGGATTCTCCCCCGGATCAGAGGACTGCTTTTAGATACTAATATCAGTGGCCTGCCAGTTTCTTTACACTTGACACTACAACTGCCTTTTTCTAAAGTCAGTTTAGGCCAGTTTGACTTTTTACAGCTCTATCTGATGGTGTCGTAATATTGAATAACATGCCAACTTTTGAAGGCTTTCCCATCCACAAAAATGTTTTTTCACTAAAACTTTCTTTTTGTTTCCTGTTAAACTATATGACATGGGTCATCTTTCAGCTTTGTTATTGAAAAAAAACCAGCAAAGGGAAGCTGAGGAGACTGACTGGTCCAGCTGGTCAAGTCCACCTCTGCATTCCAGCGGCTGTCAGGACAGAGTTTTCAATGCTCTTTTTCTTTTGTTGCTCTATCTGTAGAAAGTACGTGCATCCGTGAAAGGAAAGTGCTTGTGTTACCAGATGTCGGAGGAGGCCCTGGAGGGCTAGGCAAATTTAACTTATTTAGCAAAACTTCCTGATGTGCTTTTATCATCCAAATGGTGACATCAGCGTTTGGGTTGTGGTAAACACTTAGATGATCCCAGCCTAGTCATCCGTTCACTTCACTACAGGTACTGCATTTGAGAGAGCTTTTTGTCTAAAGCAAAATACTCAATATTTGAAAGGTATTCAATAAACTCAGAAGCAAATCAATTAAAGAACAGTGTTTTAAAATATGGTGGCTAGTATATTTTAAAGTATTGAATAAAGAGAGTGTTTAGAACATGGAAGAGATGTTTAGACAAAGTTTTAAGCAAAGTTAGGGCCTTTGAGCAAAAGGAGCATGTGCCTTCCTAAACCTCTGCTTCCATGAACTTTGTCTCAGCTGAGCAGGCCAGTGCTTTGATGTTTTTGCAAATCTATTAGTGATTCATGAAGCATAAGGAACTGTCTGCTTTATACTAGGTCATCATAACAGTCTATTCATAGAATTAAACATTGTCTAATCGGGGTCTTGTTAAAATTGACTTGTTTTTCTTTCAATTAGCTACTTAAGTTCTGTTATGGCCACAAGAGATCTATTGAGTGCTTGCTTACTGCTTAAACTGAAGAAGGTGTCCAGGGCCGTAATTTTGCAAATGTTTCCTGTAGTTAGAAAGTAATTATGATGGTTGAACAGCTACCTCAGTGCATTTTTGTATTTGAAAGCAGGCAACATTTGGTGTGTTTAAAAGAGTTAGTATGTTTTAGATGAGATGAAAAGTTCCTGTTGATCCTTGTTCCCACATTAAGATGAACCATAGAACTATGTGTCTCCTTAATATAGAAAATGTAAATGGACATTTGATAGGGAGACAAAGCTTCGTAGGAATTCAGAAAAGGTCATTATCTCTTTTTGCTGCAGAATTGTTGCAGAAGTAGTATGGGTAATGGTGAGGGCATGGGCTCTGGAGGCTGGCTTCCTGGGTTTGTATCTTGGCTCTGCCACTTATACTAGCTGAGGGGCCTTGGACAAGTCCCTTCATCTCCCTGCGCCTCAGTTTTTTTCAAATGTGAAGTTGAAATAATCGAATCTACCTCATAGGGTTGTGCAAATTAATGAGTGAATGCCCCTAAAGTTCTTGGAAAAGTACCTCATACATAGTAAGCACTCAATTGTTAGTTAATGTTGTTAAGGTGGAAGTGAATTCTGTGTATAAATCAGATACATTATGGTCAAAGAATTGTGTAATTTATAAGGGAAGAGGAGGAGGGAGAATCTATTTTTAAATTATCCTGTCTGTGAATGCTGGGTTCTTTTACTCTTCTGTTTTTTTCCTCTGGACACTGGACAGTCCCGACGCTTAGTTCCATCAGCATAGTTTTGCTGTTCTGTATGTCTTGACACCAACCCTGCAACTCGTCTGATTGTATCAAACAAGTATTTTTCAGGGAAGAGGAAGTAGGGGTGAAAATGCTCAAGGAGCAAAGATCTTGTTGACATGCTTTCTGTGGATGAGTAAACGGAAAAAAAAAAAAATAGCCCACAGAGTTATTTTTAGCCTGAATTGCCTGGGCATAGAATGTTTCTTAAGTCCTGTTAATTGATAGGTCCGGGAAAAGAGCCCTGGCAGTGCCAGCGGGGGCTTATCACACACAACTCAATCAGGCTCAGTGTGACTGGGAACGAAGCCGTAGCTTTAGTGCCTGACTCCTTGTTGACCACTCTGGGAGAGACCTATTCTGTTGATCAAATTAGCCTTAGCTCTGGGCTGGAACAACCTTTGTTTCTCTCTCTCTCTCTCTCTCTCTCTCTCTTTTTTTTTTTTTTTTTTTTTTGACTGCCATTTAAAAACCAGACATTTAAAGTGCTTTTCTGACAAGTACTCCAAGATGATAATGAGTAAAGGCGTTAAGTTTTAGTACAGTACTTCTCAATCATGTTTCTTTAAGCCTGTTTTCCCACTCAGATTGTACTTGGGGAAAGGAACTAATGAAGGAAAGCTTCAGCTGCCCCTCTGAAGGGACTGGTTTTACTCTAAGGCACCTAATGCAGTGGTAATAACTTTTTCATTCCTACCGTTCATCATTGATTGGATTGTGGGGTGAGAACTGAAAGAGAATGGGCCATTTAACAACATTGGTAGAATGCTTCTCAGAATAAAGACACAATAAATATTGGGAACAGAATTAATAATGACAAAACTGTTCCATTTTGCCACGGGATTCGTCTGAGTCTCTTACTGGGACTTGCCAGGCATGATGGTGCAGCTCGGAGCCTGAGATGGGGTCAGAAGGCTAATGCCCCCTGTAACATGGAATCTGACGGACAATTATTTTCCTATACTTTTTTAAAGTAGAGTTAGTTCACTGAATAACTGAAGAACTTCTGATCTCTTGCCCTCAATATTTTATTCTTGTCCTGTTTGTGAAATTTTTATCCTCCTCGACTTGCTTTTATCCCAGCAGCCACTGAAAGAAAACAAGAATGAAAAGAAACCCTGACCTAACCCTCCCATGCCTGAAAGAAGCCGTTACTGTTAGGTGCAGAACTCCAGTGGGGAATGAGGTCTGCCTCGCAGGATTCCTGGCACTCATTCCAGTAATGAGCAGTTTGTCTCTCAGCCTTTGAACCATTGTTCAAATTTAAAATTCTACCCAGTGGAAAGCCTTCGGAGCAAAAATATAGTAGAAGCAGAATTATGTTAAAAATCATTGTGATCTTAACTCATGCCCTTTTCAGGCTGTTCTTGGGGGTACAATAGAGAAGGGAGTGTGAGAGCAGACGGCGTAAAATGCACACACATCTAGTAGAATGTTTCCTTCCTGACCCAGACACAGTTTTTCCCAATGCCTGCCACCAGCCCCTTCCATTAGCGGGAGGGAAAGGGGCCTTTAAAAATAAAATCCCTCTCTAGCAATTGCGCTCTCCCAGAGGAATAGAGCCCAAAGCATCTTTGCTGGACTGTGTGCTAGGGTTTATCTCAGGCCTTTGGAATCTTACACGCAGGGCGGGAGAAGCCTCCAGGGACCACATTCCTGAAAGGGCCTCTCTCTCTCCCAGCCCTTCTGACCAGCTGCAGCCTCCACCTCTGGACCCTGCACACTTACGGGCACAAAGAAGCTGCCTCCTTAGGGGGAAAGATGGGCAGGTGAGAAAGAGTGTTGGCTACCAGCTTTTGAAAGCTGCAGGAAGAAGGGCTGGTCCCTAAGACTACTTCTGAGCATCTTTAGACATGATTCTTTTAGGGGATTGGCATAAAGTAGGCCTGTGATATTTGTTGGTAAATCTTCTTTTATATAGTAGAATTTTCTGAGACCTGGTCACGAGAAAGCCCTTGTCCATGTGATAAGCCCCATCACTATTCAAAGGATGAAGGTGAGACCCAGCTTGCCCTTTTCTACCCACTTGCACCAAGCCAGCCCTGGCCCCAGCTCTCTGCTTTGCCCCTGAGAACTGGGCCTCTGTCAGGCTGCCCCCACCCTATCATTCCAACAGATACCAAGGCAAGGCTCCTTGCAGTGTTTCTAGAACTCAGCCATGTGCCAAAAGCCACGTGTTCCCACCTGTTCATTTTTTGACTCATCCTAACTCAAGTGTTAGAGCAGTGCTTTCTCTGCGGGAGAAGAGGACCATTCTATTTCCTCTGCTCAAAGGACCGAAGTTGTCTCTGATGTGCAGGATTACCCCTTGGCTGCTGCCCACACTTGATCCCTTTCCTGAATCCAAGATGCCACGCTTTAGAGTTTTTCTCCAACTCCATCCACATCTACTTGGCTATTTCTTTCTGACCAGTGACAGTGCCTTCCTGCCCTTGGTGGCACAGATACTTCCTTCAGTGCCGTATTGTCTTTCTGTCTCTGTCTCTCTGGGTCTTTGTAAGTCTCCCCTCCTGCTGCACCCCTTCCAAATACTCTCACATTCCTTGTTTGCCTGGGGAAGAGTCTGAGTGCTCCGGGAAGAGCTGTGACTAGGAATGCTACCACCCGCTAAGAAGGAGCAGAGTTGGATTTCTTGACCCTGAGACTTGCAGAGTTGCCAGAGACTCTATGCTCTGGAAATCAGGCCACAGCTGTGGTAGCTGGTCGGCTAACCCCAGAGCCTCTCCAGACTCCCAATTCCATCACAATAGCTGGGGTGTGGGGGTGGGAGTAACCATCCTAGAAACAGGAGCAGCAGCACTGCAAACCAGCTTGGCTGGCAACCAGCTGGAGGAAAGGAGAGGCAAAGCCAGGCCAGCCCAAACGTGGGCTCCTCAGCATTTCCGATCCCCTGTCCCTTTCCTGGAGCTGCCCATGCTGCTTTCTAGAACAGATAATGAATCACAGAGCTGCTCTGATGAAGAACATCCCAAAGCACCCTTTGCCTTGCCTCCCCCACCTAGGC